GAGATTTCTGCTGGGAGATTGAAGCTAATAAACACAACAGAACTGTATGTGCATTGTCTCTTGGAGTTCTTTGGGCTGAACCTGACATCAATCTCCCCAGACAGAACCCTAGTTCCCAAGCCAGCCAGCCACAACACCGTGAACTCCTTAGGGAGGTGCCAGCCTCATCTTCTTGAACTTCCCACGCCCCTGCTGGGGGCTAAGAACACACTTATCTCCCTGAGCCTGGCCTTCATAAGTCCATTCCATCACAATACCCCATGAAAGTCTAGGGAGGGGCCATCCTAAGCCTCTTCTTCTCCTCACGGTCTTGTTGTGGGCTGAGAAAGCGCTTGCCCTGTGCCCTCTCCAGGAATGCACTCCCTCCTTCCTGATAGCCTTGATCTTCCATTCCGGTATCCTCCCCGCCCATGCCTTCCATTACAGGTTCTTCGATTCCAAGAATATCTTTACAGCAAATGCAATTACCAGTTAATGAGGGAGGATTTGGTTTTCTGAATCTGGAGCTATATCATCAAGCTTAGCAATTGTCAAGTATTAAATACTGGAAGCCAACAATTGGTGTTAATTTTCCAATCTGGGCAACATTGGAATATACATATATAGCACCTTTGGTTGGATGGAGAATACTAGGATCTAAATACAACAGAACTCTAGCATCTCTGGAAACAATTATGTCAGTTAGAAAGCTATGGAATGGAATATCTAATAAAAAAGGATTTGATTCTTTTTCCCATGCTAAATTGACTTTATGGGGAAACCCCAATATTAAAAATTGGGAAAAAGATGGTGCTATGGAAAAATTGGATGGAAGCGGGGATATTGACTTTGGACCAATTAATAGATGGTGAAGATGAATTTTTAACACATGCTGTGTTAAGAGATAAATATCATCTATCAGATGTAACTCATTGGCAATATTTACAGTTGTAACATCTGTTAATTGCATTGTTTGGATCAGCAGCATTTTCAGCTTCTGAAACACCTGAGATACTAGAACAACTTGTTCAATCCTTTAAAACTAAAAAAAACCCCACTTATTCATTTTTATAGATATTTGTTATCAATAAATCAATCTAATATGCAGATGCTAAGAGATGAATGGAATAAAGAATTAGAGACTCCTATACTGCCCAGACAATGGAAGAATGTCTTAACTTCTATAGCAAGAGTGTCACTGGACCTTAAACTATGACTTATACAACAACAACAAAAATATTTAGAATTTATTGGACTCCATTATGTTTGCATAGAAAAGGATGGTCTAAGACAGCATTTTGCTGGAGATGTAGTAAGGACAATGCTTCTTTAAAACACATGTTTTTACAATGTCCTATGCTTACAAGGTTTGGGGAGAAAGTAGTGGACTATATAAATGTGACTGTGCAACAAAAGCTAAAATTTTCAAAGGTTAATATTCTCTTGAAATACATACCTAATACATGGAATTTGACAACTGGAAACTGCAAATGGATTCTCCGGTTATGAGCAGACTGACTATAGATGTAGACTTTGTATGGACAAGTATAATGAAATAGGGGACTAATTTATCCAAAATACATTAGGTTAAAAAAAATGATAGTCATATAAATGTATTAGAAATATATACATACTTGAATAATATTTGCATTAGATAAGTATATATAGAATTGTAACTCTTTACTGTTATAATGACATATACTATGGGTTTTTTGTCGTACTTCTTTCATTTTTTTGTAAATATTTTTTTCTTCCTTGACAATGTACTGTATCTCCATCATTATTATCATTGTGGTTTTCTTTTTCTTTTTTTGTTATTAATTAAAAGCAATAAAAACTTGCTTTTTGTTAATATTGGGGACAGCAATTTATTGTGTCTGCATCACAAATCTTGGGTTCTAAGTAAACTCTTACTGTGAATTATTTAATATCAGAACTTTTCCATCCATGCAGATTAAAACTATATCCCCGGATGTTGAAAAATGTGTCAACCCTGGACCTGTCAACTTGTATCTTGGGCGAGAGAATCAGTATGCCAATATGCGTTGCTGCAACAGCCATGCAGTGCATGGCTCACACAGATGGGGAAATTGCAACTGCTAGAGGTAGGTTCTATGGAAATTTCTTCTAAAGAAATTCAGCAGGGGAGACAGTCGTGTTAAATGAAGAACACAGAAGTGTCTTCTTCTTTCAAATTAAGGAAGACTTATTTTCTCCAGTCGGTTTTGCCTGTAATCAATATTTTGCATCGGGAACAACAAATTCATATCCTTTGTTTTATTTCCAAGCAAAGTATTACGGCCACATGGCAAATAAAGTTATAGAGATGGTGTATTTAGAGCCAACTAATCAGGAAATGCTCTTACAACTTTTTTTAGGTTTAGAACCAGTATTAATGTGCTAAACTAGAGGTGAGGCAGAAGTGAGGCTCTGTTTGCCCCCCAGTAGGGTCACTTTTCTGGAAATAGATACTATATGTAGTAACAAAGTAGACTGAGGAAGCAGGTCCTGAAAACACCAGTTGAAAATTGTTATCCATAATAACATTCACTTTGGGATAAATGTGTATGGTGTCCAGAAAAAAAGTGTTCCATTTATGTTTCTTCTGGGACATTTTAGTAAATGTATACCTTCTATTACACTATGATGGGAACTAAGCTATTTTATTCTATGACTTTCCATCACATATATTTTTTCTAGTACTCCTCTGTGTATTTAAGATAAAATAGCATGCTGGAGAAAAGTCTTTTTTCCTTGGTTTGTTTTTCAATTATACAGAGTATTCGTCTTATTAAACATATAGATTTACACTGCACAATAAAGATAAGAATGATTCATTCTGAAGAAAAATATATGAAATCTTTCATTTGGGAAAGGGGTTTGGCAGTCTAATGTTATGGCACTTGGGTTGAATGTAGAATGGGTTTTACTTAGCCAATGTTGAGATCTTGACTAGTTTTCAAATGTTTACTAGACCTTTTAATGGAGGAGAAGTAGAATTGCTTCTGCACGTGAACACTATGTTAGCACCTCGTTTACTATGAGTCTCTGATCAAACGTTTATAGGAATAATCAAAGTACATAATGTATTTGATTAGTGTGGATTAGTGGCTAAGGCAGACTGAACAACAGATTTCTCTATCTTAGTGCATCTGATTATATTTCACTGAGAAAATTAAATTGTTCTTGAGAATCTGCTGATGCATGCAATTGTCTGCCTGACTATGAAGTCATCAGCTATGCAGCTAACACGTTAGAGTATGTGCAAATTTACTAATTTAACAACTATAATGGAAAAAATAATAGGCTAATCCTGGAATATTTTCCGAGAGAAATCAGTTGATCCAAAACTAACCATGATTTCTCAAGTTTAATATGCCAGTGTCTTCTTGCCTTCAGGGTGTTGTATTTCTTCAGTGTATTTAATTAGGGCTACCTTACTTGGGCTGCAAAAAAAGAGTCAAGTTTTTTGCATATTTTTGCTGCCATCTATGGACTGTCTGGATATTTGCAGGTATGTCCTAATTTATTAGCCAGGATTCTCCCTGAGATGATGTTGAAGGTTGAATTCTTTATCTTCCCTGTTCAATGCACTGCCTCCATGTCATCAAATTTTTTGAACTGAATTCTTCAGGCAACAAGAGAGGCTCCTATTTCTAATGCAGTTCTAATTATCTTCACGGAGTGCACCCATGGCTGGTGGATTCCTAGCCACCAACCGCTAAAAAGCCCTGGTGGGGATCTGCTCACATTAGAAGCTCCCCTCCTGGGCTGTGGATGGATGTTTGCTTCTTGGAGGCTGTAGCTGCTTCTTTGTTGTTATTATTTTGTAGTATTGTTTCATTTTGTTATGCTGTTGTTGTGTTTTTAAGCCTTTTATTGAAAATGAGGAACGGAAGCCACTCAGAGTCTTGCTGGACTGGAGCAGTGTGTAAACCCCTGCATATAAAATAATGTTTAGTTCAAAAGGTTCATGTATTAATAGGGATCTCAGACTGTTCCTTTACTAGCAGTCACGTTCTCCAGTGCCTAGTTGAGATTTCTGTAACAGGAATCCTCTCAAACAGCTCCATTGCTTCAATAAGACATGGCAATCTATTTGCTTTGAACTCCTAGTGAGGGTTTTATCCCCTGATGAAGAGTTCACTAAGTCTAAAACCTGGTTTTCCTGTGTCAAAGCCTGTTAAATGGCTTGCAAGATACTGTGTATCACACAACCTGGCCACTGTTTTCAGCCATATTTGCATGTTTTGGGCACAGAACAGCCTTTGCCCTACCATTTCCTCAGTTCATCTACCAAACATTAATTGACCTACTGCTTTCCTCTACCACTGCTAGGATATTACTAGGGATATGATTCATACACAATGTGTGTACATATTTTTAAAAATAATTTTACCTTGGCCATGTAGGTTGTTGGAGCTAATGATTCACTTTAGAATAACAAAATTGTTTAGCTGAACTGCAGACCCTAAATCTAATGTGTATACAGGTAATTCTTGCTTAATGACTGCCCTGTTTAGCAACCATTCAAAGTTACGATGGTGCTGAAAAAGTAACTATATGACTGGTCCTCACATTTATGACTGTTGCAGCATCCCCACAGCACGTGATTGAGATTTGGGCGCTTTGCAACCGGTGGGCATTGACACCGCAGTCATGTAATCATCATTTTTGCACTTCACAGCTGGCTTCTGACAAGCAGAGACAATGGAGAAGCCAACAGTAAAATTGCAAGTTGCGGTCACATGACATATCACTTAACGACCATGGCGATTCACTTAACAGCTGCAGCGGAAGTGAGGTTGTAAGTCTGTTGCAGTCATGTGATGTCTTGCTCAACATCTGTGTCACTTAGCGATGGAATTGCTGGTCCCAGTTGTGGCCATTAAGCAAGGACTACCTGTATACTGCATCCCTGGAAGTGGTCCTTTTGTTCCTGCATTTGCTGGGCATGTTTTTCCCAATCAGCCTGCAAGTGTGAACAAAGAATGCACAGAGACATAAAAGCACAATGTGGTTATTATGCAACTGATAGCACTAGCTGGGCAGAATATTCCCTCGCCTGGGCTACCAGCCAGAAAAGGAAAGGTGACAAGTGTCTTTGTCTGTTTTACAAGGCTTATACACTGCTCCAGTCAAAACTGATCTTGAACAGCATGCAATTTTTCATTTCAAAGTTACAGCTTACCAACTAAAGGGAAGATATGATGATAAAAAATGGCAAGGAAAACTGGTGTTGTGATGACAGGGTTGGTCAACAGTGGGCAAAATAGGAGTCTGAGAGCGATATTTACTTTTTTAGAAAAAAAAAGGTGTTTCTTTGGTCTTTGGTTGGGTGCGGGATTTGTGCGATGCCTTTTAGTATGTGCAAGAAAAGATGGAGAGTAGAGCAGACTGAACTTATCCTATGGAGATAATTTTGTGTTTGTAAACAGTTTAAATTAATTTCACAAACAGATTCAATCTGATAAATAACTCCATTATGTGAAGAAGGTGGTACCTTTGTTTTGTTATATATGATTTGATACTAAGACATCTCTCTATTGCAATTAATTTGGTCTTAAATGGATGGGTTGCCATTTTAATTAAAGCTCTTTCTGAGAAGTCTCTCATTATTATGAGTGTCCCTTTCCTTCAAATTTAAGAGGAGATAAATGGTGTCACTTGTGTGAACGCACATACTGCCAAAGCTGTATATTAATGTGACACTATTTTCAACTAAATCAATGGTCAATGATAATTTTGTTTATTGTATTTATTAGACTTCATATCAGCTATCAGTGTGATTGGCTTAACTAGTGCTGTTCTGGGCCCTTCAGAATTGCTCAACTTTTTGCTTGTTGGCAAAATGACTTTGAGATTTAATTTTAACTTGCAAAACTTTACTTGTTGATCTATTGAACTTCAGATAAATGATAGTCTGTCCTATTAGTGGTTTTTTGTCACATAATTATTCTAATGGAAACCCATGATATTGTGACATGTTCATTTTCATACAGCATTTTGCTATTATCTTACTGAAAAAAAAAGGGATTATTTGAACTGAGCGATCAAATACACGTTAAAGCTGTAAAATAGGACATCTGGGTGCTGTTAAATGAAATTCCAACCCTAATATATTAACATGAATAGCATAGTTGCTGTAGGATGTGTAGCTGTTTGTTCATTGCTCCAATTAATGGCTGTTTCTTCCAAGTAAAATGTTTGGCTGGATGATTGATTATTGAAAACACCCCATTCTCTGCCCTTAAAGAGGTAATGGTATATAATCAGGCAATCCATGTCAAGACCATAGGAGGAAGACAGAGGTGTAAGCTACAGTATAATGAGAACAACCACGGAGGGTGGGGGGAATAATGACATTCAAGCCTTGGATGCCTAGAATCTCACACGCTCACCTGTGATGACCCAGCCAACAAATTCAGGGCTTCAAGTGAGAGGGACCACAAATACAATAGGGCTGGCTTCCCCTATTTTGAAATGAAGTCATATAAGATTGCAGTCCTAAATATGGCAGTTTTATTTCTCGACAAATATGCGTGAGGTTGCTCTGTTTTACATGCAAAGGGATGTCCCTCAAAGTACAGTTTAACACTGAGCTGCATCATACACATTGATGAGTGTACCCTTAGTATAAATTCTTAGAGGATTGATTGATTGATTGATTGATTGATTACATGCCGTCAAGTCATTGTCAATTCTATCACAGACAGATTTTCTAGGCAGAACAAACAAACAAAAAGAATGAATTGAAAACTAACAACTAGGAACTAGGCAGAACAAACAAACAAAAAGAATGAATTGAAAACTAACAACTAGGAACTAGGCAGAACAAACAAACAAAAAGAATGAATTGAAAACTAACAACTAGGAACTAGGCAGAACAAACAAACAAAAAGAATGAATTGAAAACTAACAACTAGGAACTAGGCAGAACAAACAAACAAAAAGAATGAATTGAAAACTAACAACTAGGAACTAGGCAGAACAAACAAACAAAAAGAATGAATTGAAAACTAACAACTAGGAACTAGGCAGAACAAACAAACAAAAAGAATGAATTGAAAACTAACAACTAGGAACTACTTTGGTGTCTGCCAAAGCTTCACACAGTACTGAATGATATTTGTGTGTGAGGAGAGGAAAAAGAGGAACGCTTGTATTTTTCACTTGATTCTACAGCATTCATTACAGGAATCTATCTCAAAATTTCCAACTCCTTTTACACCTTTCTGCTAAAATTCGAGAGAAGTTTCAAATGTCTAATAAGCTAGCTCCCTCTAGTGAACCACTGAGGCTGCAGTATCAGAGTTGAACACTTGACTCAAAAGTTGCCACTGTGATAAATTATTGTACAAGATTCTTTGGGTTAAAAAAAAAAAAAAAGCTTAAATTTGCAGGCAAACACACACCGTTCAGCCAGTGGGAATGTTAAATTAAGAATACAAGAACTAGGACCTGATGTCATCTTGTATGTTTTGATTGGCTATTGGAGAGGGAAAAACACACTTCTGAGTAGAAGGTTGAAGGTTTCAGCCTCTTTCACACACTAAAGAATTAACCCAGTTTTAAGATGAGGGACCGGAAGCAAAGTGCAACCTATTTTCCACACACCCCAAGCCACATCCTATTGTTCACTCTCAAGTATACTCTAGTTCACTTTTTCAGCATGTTCTTGCAGTCGCATCCATAATTCACTTTTCTGAGGGACTGCATCTCAGGAAGAGTCATCAACTTTGGATGAACTGGTGTCGAACAAGTGGAAGCACAGCGGGCCATTTCAAAGCAAGAAGCTATCTGCCCTTAAGTAAAGATCTTGAAATAGGAAAAAGTATGTTAATGTGCACAACTAAAAGAAAAGCTACCCATGCCTCTTAACAAAGAACAGATGATCTGGATAACTGCCCATTTCCTCAAGTACTTCCCCTTGGTGTTAGGGGTTGCTTCTGGCTTCTCTGTTCACATGTCCTTCATGCTGCCTGCCGATGAACCCTCCACGATTGTTATCCATCTGAAGCACTGAAGGAGTGTGGCTGTAAATAAAGTCCTACTGCCAACTACTCATCATTTACAACTAGAGCCAAATTGAAGGTAGTCCTAACCACCTTTCATACTTCTCTCTATGGTCTCGTAAGCAAGTTTCGCTTTTTAAGCTAGCAGGCTATGTCACCCACTAATGTGGGTTTTCAGAAGAGGGACCATTCATTCCTACTATTTATCAATGGGAGAATCTCTGGCCCATATCTATTTCTAGGTTTCTGTTAATATATCTCATGAATGGGAGTTACAGAAATCTAACCAGCTACTTTGGGGGATGAGAATTCATTGAAGAGTCAATGTTACTAGATGCTCCTATAAAGAACAGTAGACTATTAAATGGAAATCAAATAGTTAATTTAAAAGTTACAGTCTGCACACCTAGACATTTGGTTGTTGTTCAGAAAGGAAGCCGTTCACTTAAAAGGTTCTGCTTTTGGAATCTACATCCTTCTGATTATTATCAGCTCTCCATGTCTGCCAGCCCTTGTTTTAACTATGATTTCTATATATTGTCTTTCTCCAGCTGATGCCCTCTGGATTTTTTCAGCCGGAAACCCCATAATCCCTAGTCAACATGGGCAAATCTATTGTGTAGCCTCTTTCTGGTCCCCATTCTGGTCCAGCAAGTGATAGGAAGCCACATAGAGCCATAGCACCATTATGAGAGGCAACAAAGCTTTAAATAAAACTAAAGAGGGCTAGGGATCTGTGGATTACATCCACAACGTGCAGAGTAAAATATGCCAGCTGCCCCTGCCCACAAAGCATGGAGACTGTCGTATCTCAGCTGGGAATGTCTGCCCTCTGCTCTAAGGGGAAGGACTGTAGGAATAGTTTTAACTGATAGAGTATCAACACTGCAGATCAATATTTGATTCTTACAGCAGATGCTAGAATAACACCTCCCATACATTCATACAATGTGCAGGTAGAAGTAGCTCCTTTCACTAAAATGGGAACAAACACAAGAGGTTTTCTTCCACACTTTTGAGAGTGCACCACAAAGATGTCAGAGCTATAGTTTCTGCCATGTGGAAACATTTAGTGCATGCAGGCTGCTTAAGTTCTTAGGAAAAAAAGTGTGGTTCGTTGGGGCAGGAACATGGCTAGTTAGGAGGAGAAACAGCCAAGAAACAGCTGCTGTTATTTAGGTATGTATCCACTAGGTGGCGCTCTACTACTTCTAATAGCAAATATTGTACTCTTTATCCACTCCAAGGTTGTTAATATTATGACAATTTCTTGGGACAGACTGATAGATCTTATTAATCGATGTAGCTCTTAACAGGAAGTAGCATAAAAGTAGTGTTTAAGAAGAATAATTGAATGTGGGATAAAAGAACTGGAACTGTTGTTTTTTTTTAATTGTCCCCTATGTGCGTTTTCTACTTCAAATATCCTTTTTTTTTTTTTTTTTGACATGGACTGTTAAAAAATAAATAATATATACGTGGTCAGATGCATGGGACCAAGTAGACTGGAAGGCTGAATTTGAATGTGCGTAGTATGGACGACTTCTACCCATCTTTTTAAAAAGCTTAGTTGAGTATCAGTACTGGATTCGGATTACTTGCAGCACAGAGCCTATGCCGTGGACAGTTCAGATGTACCAGACATGCTATCCCAGAGAAGATTTGGCCATTCGCTTGCCACGAGGAATGTACAGATCCAAAACGTCTGGTTTCTTCCTTTTTATTATATGGTTACTAGGACAGAATTTAGTCAGCAACTTCTTTATGGACTTAAAAAATTATAGAAATAGTTTTAGTTTATAATTAAAAAAAACACACACACAGATTGCTGTTGTGTGTCTCTTCCCCTAATTAACATAGTTGCCTGAGAAATACTTTTAATGTATTTGCTTCATTCATTTGCTTTGTATTCATTTGCTTTTGTTTTTAGACATATTTCTCGGTACCAGCTCTCTCTCTCTCTTTTCTAAGTATGATGATATGCAGATTCCACCAGCATGCCTTTTTTTCAAATACGGGTTTTTCCTCCTGCTTTTTAGTCAGACTAACACTACCAAGCTTCATTTGATGCTAGTCTCCAGTGAAAGTGGAATGCCCAAATCTATTTCCAGTGGCATTCTTGTATATCCACATTTAGTTTTGAAACTCGAAGAACACAAAGTACAGTCTATGATTTCCCTGCAGTATTTGATAGAGGAAAAATTGATCAGTGTGGTCTCTGAATATTTCTAAATTGTGCCAGCGGGTCTCACTCACTCATGATTAAAAGGTGGGGACACCAGTTAGCTAGGCACCCCATGGCTATCATGGGGCCCAGGAACCAGTTCATTCCAGAAAATAAGATGTGTTTTTGGAGCGATCTGCTTCTCCTCATTCATAGAGGATTCCATGATTCATATGCTTCAATATACAGTGGACAACTCAATCTTAGAAAACTTTTTCTAATGTTAGCGGGCATTCGAAAGAGGTTATGGTCGCAAAAAGTATGGCCCTTGGAACTGCTGTTGCCTCCTCTTTTCTTGCTAATCATCTCACCACTAAAAAGGCAGAGTGATGGTTTTCTGCTGTTAGGAACAGTGAGAAATCAGTACTCTGTTTCCACTGGCCACTTAGTCACTTGGACCAGCTGGATCGTGGCAAAAGTGACTGAGGATGAAGCTGACACGGCTCCTGTGCTCTTTCTGCGAACCAGCAGAAAATTGTTCACTTGCCTCAGCTGTGAAGCAGCGACCTGTAAGCAATCCCTGGGGGAGAAGACACGCCGGCTGCTTCCCTTTCCTCCTAGCATCCCTGCTCAGGACTGGTGGGACAGAAATGTTCTCATCTGCAGGCAAGAGATCCCATATGTGAGCGTTCAAGTATTTGGAGGCCAGGGAAATACTAGGCTAGCATAGTATAGCTTTACATCCAGACAAACTGGCCTGGATGTTATACAATATATTCATTCTATCGAGAAGGTGAGGAATGAAGTTTATAAGTCCCTTGCTAGTTGATTTTGCATGAAGTAGTCGGTTTGACCTGAATGAGCATAAATATTTTAAAAAAGGCTTTTTAACAGAACGTCAGTGATTACAGTCCAATTGCAGGCTTCCTTTATTACTCCGCAGCAACTGTGTATTAGTAGCAGCAGCTAATCCAATCTATTCACAAGGAAAGATTAATGATAAAGGCTGAAATCAAGTCAGAGCTAACAAACGGGCAACCACCCAGCTGTGAAATCCTCTGGGATTCATTGTGCCGCAAAACAAGCTGAATTCCATGCTGCCAATACAGATATTGTGGCATTTTTGTCTTTGCATAAAGGGAACAAGGCAATTAAAATATTAAGTAATTTTTCAAAATCTGAAAAAGGAATCAATACAGTGCTTAATTCTGGGCTGTGGTCCTGTGACTACCTTTTTTGCTCTTCAGCTTGTAGATCAGTGGGAACAGGGATGATGCTGAGTTCATGGTCCACAACATCTATAGAAGACGTTGCTCAGGCAGCCCCGCAGACGATTCTCTGGTTGCAGCTCTATATCTATAAGGACCGCGAGGTCACGAAGTCCTTAGTGCGTCGGGCGGAAAAAGCTGGATACAAAGGCATTTTTGTGACTGTGGACACCCCGTATCTTGGAAAACGCTTAGATGATGTACGCAATAAGTTTCGTCTGTCTCCACATCTCAGGTACTTAGAGACAGAGATGTCCACTTTTTTCTCTATGTTCAAATCCTACATCTAAACACCATGCTGTTGCTGTAACAATAAGCTATTAAACATGGCTTCACTTATTTCCCAAGTCAGAACTCCTTTTTCCATATCTGTTATGATAAATATAGAGAACAAAAATATCTCAGGGATAATTTTACATTAAACTACGTCAGTACATTTATAAAAACAGTTTCAGTGGGTCTTACTAAAACCCTAAAAGCCATCCCTGATTAACAAAAAAGTGTTGCAAAACTAATTTGCTGTTGCACTTGAAGTGGGAAGTCTCTTGTTCTTCCAAATAGATGCATCTTAGCCACGGTACTTGGAATGATTGTTTTCCCCTAGACTAACAGAATGAAGCTAATTGTGGAGAAGTTTATCCCTCTTCATATAGTTTTATATTGTTCAATTTGCTGATAATCTTGGGAAAGTTGAAGATTGATTGATTGGATTTGTTGTTCCATACTCCCTGTTTCTAGCTGTTAATGGGGGAACAAGGAAATGGTGTCTTTCCAGATATTGCTGAATTGCAGCTCCTGGCTCTCTCAACATTGTCTATGTTGGTTGGGGATGCTGGGTACAGTTGTTTAGGATTGTCTAAAAGACCACCGTTCCCATCCCTCCATTAAGACTAGAGGTCTATGAACCATTGGCGGCATTTTTCAAAACGCCACCCAAATCCCCCATGTGGAGTGTTGAGGCAGCTTTGTTTTGAACAGTTTAGCAAGGCTGATTTGAGTATTTGTTCTAATATTCTGAACATGCATGTGCAAAATACATTTTTGCTAGGATTGCCAGCAGCTGCTTGGAAGCTCTGAGCAATATGTTCGCTTTATTTAATTCTTCTCCTCCACTTCCCTTCCTGTTGGATTTTTGGAGATTGTGGGAAGATGGGAAGCGGACTGCTTCCTCTTTCTCTTGCTTTCTTTCTGACAGATGCTATACGTTAGAACACTACAATGGCCATTCTTCTCAGCCTTTGTGGATAATATTTTTACTTAAGACGAGCAGAATGGATGTGTCATACATGCCATGATTTAAAGGATATACTCAGCTATACACTTCACCTGAGCCATAATATAATGCAAACTGTGATGAATCAGACATACTAAAAGTTTATTTTGTCCAGCATCTTGTAGTCAAGAGTAGTTAGCCAAACAGTTTCAGGAAGCCGCTAGGAGGTTCTGAGTCATAAGTCCTTCTTGTGTGGATCAATTTTCCATTCCAAATGTTTGGTATGTAGCTATATACTCCCCTTAAGTATAGAAGCTTGTCCATTTTGTTTCTATATATGGATAATTGTTACTAATGGTGCTTTTGTCTTCCACGGCGTTTTCAAATTATCTTTAAAGCTGTTTAGTTGTTACAGTTAACTCATCTCGAGTAACTAATTCTGTAAGTGAACTGTATACACCAAGAAAACAAAATTGCTTTCTTTTTTTTAGAAAAGAAGAGTGCCTCAGTGCCTTAGGGTATATTCTTGCACATGATGACATTCAGCAAATGTTAACCCCAAAAGGTTTCCCAACCATAAAAAAATATACGAGCAAGCTTTTAAGGCAATGATGAGTGTTACTATTTTTGTAAGGAGTTGGTATTGGACTAAAGCTGTTAGTATTGGACCAAATATTATCTTTCCAGCTGACTTTTCTTACTTCTCCCCCACTTTTTTTTCCAATTTCAGAATGAAAAATTTTGAGACAAATGATCTGGCATTTTCATCTGAGAAGGGTTATGGTGAAGACAGTGGTCTGTCGGTTTATGTAGCAGAGGCCATTGATCCCTCAATTAACTGGGATGATTTGAAGTGGCTCAGAGGACTGACTTCATTGCCCATCATTACTAAAGGAATCCTCCGAGGTTCGTTTGCTTTACTAAAATTCTGTAATATTTGAGGGGCTCTAGAATGCCCTTCCCCAACCCGCTGCCTTCTGGTGAAAAGCAATTATAACGCCTAGTTTTCCAACTTAGTTTTCTGTGCCTCTTTGCTGCCATCTAGTGATCCACTGGTGTCTTACATGCAGATACTGTATGTAGTGCTATCAAAGACCAACATTTCATCTGGAAGGGATAGTTGGCCAAGATCTCAGCAGGTAGGTAAGCGAACTAAAGAAAACCTCTGTTGAAAAGGGTTGTCTTGACGTTGGACATGTCTATACATGTATATCTCAGAGAAACAGACAGCATGTGTAAAATCCAATCTATCTTTTTTATAAGGCGCAAACTGTAATAGCCATCCTATTTTATAAATAACTGATCCCTGAAGCCATCAAACATACCGGGCAGCGGCTTGCTTACTTGAGAAGGAGACGCAAAGGTCTGGATGGGGAAGGGAAGCAAACAGGGATACAAATAAGAGTAGGTCCTTCCTTGCTTTGGAGATACAAATGGAGTACAGCTTGGACGTTTACAATCCTTTGTATCACTCTCCAGTATGGCTAGAACAGTAAACAAAAGCTTCTGTAGTATATTCAGTAAGTTTCACTGTCACCAAGGTGAATATTTGACGTACGGTAAATATGTTGAAAAGAGGGTGCTTCCTAAATGTGCATGTGTTTGTGAATTGGAGAGGAGCCCTCTTACATTCTTTATGCAAGCATGATGGTAGACATCCCTGCTGAAAAATATCCTTTGAAGATTAACTTGGGAGGGGCTGGTTTCCTGCTGAATCTTAATCTTTTTACAATTCCTGGACAATGCATCTCTTTCTTTTCTCTCCTTCTTTCTTCCATTAGTTTTCCTCTCATTTCTATTCCACTTTGTTTTCTCATCTTCCCTTCCCTTTCTCCTCCTTCTCCTCCTTTGACTGTAAGAGAGAATGGAATATACGGACAGGGATCAATTTGTTTTTTAAATGGAGCACTTAATCTTACAGACAATTAATTTTAATCAGCAGATATTATTTCAATAATCATAATGTGTCCCATCTCTCTCTCTCTGTATATATGTGCAGGGGTGTAAGTGTTTCTCCAGCTCAAATAATAATAATAATATACTTGCAGGGAAAATGCAAAAGTGTTCTCTTGATGCTCTTTTTTTTTCTTTCTGAGATATAAATTGCACTGTTTTGAGCACTATAATTTCATACATGGAAAAGAATATTTGATGTTCTACTTTATAATCTGTTTTCTAAAGGGTGCTTGTTTGCTTTAGGGTTGGGTGGGCTAGAGTATACACGCATGCATGAAATAAAACATTTAAAAAAATATGCATATGAAGAGAAAAGCTCTAACACAAATTTTACATGAAACTCAGTTTGGGTCATACCTCTATTTACACTTTCTGGGATTAATCCAATCAATTTTTTTAAGGGCAATCTTTCAAGTTCCTACTATATTCCCAATGTCATTTTATGATTTGAGGCTCTACTTTTGAAGGATCATAATCTTTAGGTATGATCCTTCAAAAGGATCTTTAGGTATGAACTTAACCCTCTTGGGTTTGGCTTCTTTGTGCTGATACATCTGTCAGCCTTCTTAGAATTGCTGTTTGGAGGTAAGGCTCCAGTTGTATGGTTTCTCTCCGGGGACCCTCCTTGCAGTAGAACTGGGGAGTTCCTTCCCTGGTATTAATTTCAAAAAGTTGTTTTAATTGGGATATAATCAATTTTTTCTCAGAAGACAGCTGGTTACTGATTGTTTATTAAATACAATAGTTTGCAATTATAGAGCAGCCTTCACATTGGAAAGGTGCTGTGCCTTACAGTTCTAGTTGGGAAACCTAGGAAAATCCATGATGTAAGAGACCTTGCCTTTGCACCCCTGGGGAGGTTATATCAATGGAATGTCCTCCTAAGACTGCATTCTCTAAAGATATATGGCACCATCCTATCTTCCTGATTTTACAGTCTTTCCAATGTGTCAGGTGTAGAAGATTTGATGGGTCCAACTTTGGGCACTAACTCATACGGAATCCTTAAATAAACAGTATTGCAAGCTCAGCAGAAAGCAAGCAGGCACTTGAATTCTCAGGTACCAAAGGTAACAAGGCGCTAACAGGAGAAGTGAAAGTGTTAAGTGCCAGAATGCAAGCCAGCCCCAAAGGATTAACAATTAGGGCTGGGAACTCCAGATGAAATAATAGTTTAGTTATGGAATCTTAGGCCTTTTGTTTAAACCAAAGGATCCATGTGTAGGGAAGTAAGATTTCATTTGTACTACCTCTTGTTATGTCTTCCAATTCACATATGAATTAACCCAATCAGTAAGGTTAACCCTACCAGTCACATAGACTGCTATGTCCTCGTGAGTATCTGTGATTGTAAGGGCTCTTTAGGTATTGAACATGTCAGTAAGACCATTTGTACTTCAATGTAACTGTGTCCTGGTCTCTGGTCCAACATACCCCTTGGGAAAAATTATCCTTCACAGGGCCCACTTAGATGGGCAAGATCAGGGAAGCAAGATGTCAGTAAGGTATCTGGGATAAGTTCAGAATCTTGGAAACTAAGAATTTCCTACTCTTATTTACAGTGAGTTAATTCAGGCAGGATCTCTTTAAATGATTTGAAATGTTTCTTCCCAGGCTTCTTCCCACCTGGGCTAAATTTCTGTTTGTGAGATAAGCTGCTGGCTGACTCACCCTCTGTGTCTTGATTGCGGATGACAACTTTCCCATTCCTTTCCTGGCCTTCCTGCAATTTCTCACAGTGTTACCATGATGTCGCAATCCACTTTTTTATTTGCCAGTTCAAACCCACAGATACACTTACATTTTGTGTACTGGCTTGTAGGATTAGAGAAGAAAATTGTATCCTTGCACTTTTTCTAATTCCCTTTAAACTGTACATTTGAGATAAATTTGTTTGTGATTTTCAGTTTGGGGTTATTTTATGGTGTTTACTCCTATCTTGTGCATGTATGTATATGGACATTTACCAAAATAAAGCTTTACTGATATAAGTTTCTTATAACTCTCTAAGGTCTGGTCTGTATAGATATAAAAAAATAATATATTTAATTCTTTATGGGTACACGTCCTTCTGTTCTGGCTTGCCTATGATAGGTAGAATGACTAGGTCTCACACTTCTTCTCTTTGGGATAATTAATCAAAAGTCATTTGAGCAACATGAAGTAATTGATGTAATCATTTGTATAGATGATTACTGAAATAATTAAATTTGGTCTGCAATAATTCTCTCAGCTAGAGGGATGGTTTTGATGTGATTAGCAGGGCAAATACTTATCAAAAGAAATGTGCACAAAATGGAAAATACGTTTTGTTAAGTGGAAACAAACTGTGACATTCCAGAAATTCTGCTGAACTTTTTAGATTGGTTGAATTCAGCAGAAATAAAGCCCAAACAAAATCTGGAGGGATCTCAGTGATTTTACAGGGTGGGAAAAGCAAAACTGGTGCACACCTGTCCCTCTTTCTCTTCCTCTGAATGGCCTGTATGCTGGACCACCAGTCTACCCCATCTACTCAGCACTTTACTAGGCCCTCTTATTGTATGC